TCATCCTATTTACAACGTGTTAACATTTTTAAGACTTCTGAAAGATTGATTTAAGACATTTTAAGGCTAATTAAGGCCTTATTTTTGGATCGATGAATTCAATGCCTTTTAAGACCTTTTAAGGCTCTGCAGGAGCCCTGATACAGAGTATGCATGCTTTTTTATTTTATTTATTCTGCAACCTGAGTGGTTGAGTGTTACCTGGCTGCTGTGCAGAATAGAGGTTCTCCTGCAGGAACGGCATGGCCATCACTCCCTCTGTCACTCTGGCTGAATACAGCTGCTCCTCCCATCCAAACATGCCAGAGCTGGCGCTCAGCCGGAACAGTCGAGGCGTGTAGTTGTACTTCCCTGGATCTAGAAACCAAACGCACTCTTATGACTCTGTTTTCTTCCAGCTGCTGCTCTGTGGCTAACCTTCCCAGACCGTACCTTGCAGCATACAGTCGTAAGCCTTCTTGTCCCGCGGGCCTAAAGCCTCTTCAAACTCTGCAGGTTCTGATCCTTCCTCTACCTCCTCCACTTTCAACCTGCCACTGCTCTTCAGTCCCAGTTCTGAGCAACTCCTTAAAACCACACAGAAGAGCAGTTATCCACCCACCGAGTCATCCAGCTGCTTCTCCATGTCTTACCTCTGTGTTAGTTCATCTGCTGCTCTTTTAGCCACCAGCCTGGCACCTGCTTGGGCTTTACATCCGTGCCACAGGTAGAGACAGCCTTTCTGAGCGTTCAGCAGCACCAGACTGGCGCGAGAACGCAGACTGGACCTCTGGCACGCCACCTCAACCAGCGAGGCCTCCACCTCTACCTCACCACGAGCACAAAACAACCTCCAACTGCCTAAAATCACAAAGGTTGAAAACTTAAAACCAAATAGTGAATCTGAGCGTTAGTGCGCAGCTGATCACATCCTCTGTACCCGTGTTGTTAGAACTGTCCTCTCTGCTGCCCGTATGGATGACCAAACCTCCCTGAAAAAGTTGCAGGAAACAGGGCGGCTCTTTTCCTTGAGTCACCAACATCTGCAAACACCCGAAACAAAAGGAGACAAAGACACGACTGAAAATGTGTGGATGTCAGTTTTTAGCTAATTTTCTAGAAAACGTTAATCTTTAAAGGGGCAATATCATGTATAATCAACTTTTTTGAGTTTTATATCATGTTATAATGTTATACTCT